CTGGATAGTTATTCTGTCGAATTTTCTTCTCCTTATAAGTTCAGAACGAACAAACAAAATAAGCTGTTGGCTATTTGCTTTACAAACTAAACCGGTTCATACCCTTTTACTATTTCAGCTAACAAGCGCAAAAGTGGCTACATTCATATAGTTAAGGCTGATTCCTCATGATCCGACTTGGAAGCATTCAAAGCACGTGGATCATGCCTTGTAAAGCTTACTGTGCCATTAGTTAAATAAATAGCAGTACTTCGACCTCGTATATTTAAATCGTATTCGTTTTGAAGTAGGGGACGAGACATCATATATGATAGTTTGAGAAGTAAAGCTATTAGGTCACAGTCAATTTTTCGTTTTGCTCAAAAATCCGTTTGGTCGGTCGGACTTTTATGTTTTTCTTTTAATTCTGAATAATGAATAATAACTCTAAAACACCTATTTAATGACGAAATGAGGCAATTAATCAGAATACCATTATGTTTCAATTTTGACGGTATATTTAGGCCCTTATTTGTAATTATTTTCAAATATTGAGCCATTATCTGTAATTATTTTCATTTTGGGCCCTTATTTGTAATTATTTTCATTTTTGAGCCCTTATCTGTAAATTCCCCTATAATAAATAATCTAATTAATAAAGTTACCCTAAAATCAGAAACATACTACAAACACGAACTCACTGGATAACTTTTTCGTCAGACACCTGACGTTTATTCGGAGTGTCAAGAAGGGAATTTTCGTTCGGAGGAGATCTAAATGGCAGTGTTTTTGAACCATTTCCTTCCTCATTATGTTTCCTTTTCCTGCTTGTCACCGGATCTTCACCAGATTCGAGATCGATAATATTATTATATGCATGGACCCTCAGTTTTGACTCAAGCAAAATTCCTTTAGCATTTGCGAGATTATTTGTGGTATCCGTATTAACCTATCAAATAAATTAGTATTCATATGTATACACAAATTAATAATAATCAACTAACATACCCGTGTGTCTAATTCCTCGAAAAACAAAATAATTTCTTTACGTTTAAATGAGCGATCTGCTTTTTCAACGAGCTTAAAGGCCTTTGCCCTTGATTTTTGAAGCACTGATTTACTTAAGCTTATTGAACGTAATTTAGCTTTGTAGCTATCAAGGATTTCAACACGGTCTTCTGATGTTAGATGTGGACACACTTTTGCTAAATACTTAAGGCAACTAATGTGAGACCAGTCATCGATTTTTGTTTCGTCAAAATAAGAAGTAAGCGCGCTTAGAATGTTCATCTATAAGAAAAGACTGAGCAGTTTAGTTTGTCTCCATGAAATGGTGACGTAAAAAATAATCACAAGAAAATGGAAATGGGAATTGACAAATGGATTTCTGGAACAGAGTATGTCACACGAAACTAACTAAGAGGATTACAAAGGCTGTAATGAGTCCTAGTAGGTGTGCGAGGCCCTCTTTCCAAGCATTGGCCGCAGGGGTCCATATAAATGGGTGGGTCCATACGGGCATAGGAATCCATATAGTCCAATATACTGGAACAGAGTATGTCACACGAAACTAACTAAGAGGATTACAAAGGCTGTAATGAGTCCTAGTAGGTGTGCGAGGCCCTCTTTCCAAGCATTGGCCGCAGGGGTCCATATAAATGGGTGGGTCCATACGGGCATAGGAATCCATATAGTCCAATATACTGGAACAGAGTATGTCACACGAAACTAACTAAGAGGATTACAAAGGCTGTAATGAGTCCTAGTAGGTGTGCGAGGC